AGATTTAAAGAGACATTATTGCCCGTCAATGATGATATACAGATTTAAAGAGACATTATTGCCCGTCAATAATGATATACAGATTTAAGGAGACATTATTGCCCGTCAATAATGACATACAGATTTAAAGAGACATTATTGCCCGTCAATAATGATATACAGATTTAAAGAGACATTATTGCCCGTCAATAATGATATACAGATTTAAAGAGACATTATTGTCCGTCAATAATGATATACAGATTTAAAGAGACATTATTGCCCGTCAATGATGATATACAGATTTAAAGAGACATTATTGCCCGTCTTAACCAAGAAACAATACTCATGGACAAGATGAATTTTCTCTATGTCAAAATTTAAACCTGAATTGTCTTGTAACTAACACGAGAGTGTAATCAAATGAAACAACTTTTTACATACTTTAGACACCGTTAGCTAGTCAAAATATGATTTGAAATTTATATATATATATATATATATATATATATGCATCATGCACTGATGGTGAGAGTGTCTACACAATATATCTAATGGTGCGCTACCTTTAAGTGTAGATTAAATTCCTTTAAATGATCCTGACTTTTTCAAATAACTGGATTTATATGAAACTAAAGAGATCATTCCGTTTACACTTCTGCAGACAAGTCTTTTTTCTTTTTTGTCTTATTGTTTATTTTGATCTAGCAGAATAAGATGTAAAGGCAACGAGTCTTGTGTTGTTGTCAACATTCCAGAGTTTCGAATAGTGACCATTACAACACGTGTATTTACAAACTTCCCCGTATCAGAAAGACGCAGAAGGACATTACACTAACAACGAAGTTTAGGGCGTATAATTAGTACGCTCTACGTGAGAGTATTTAATATATATATAAGAAAGTTAGAACTGATACTCTCAAAGCAACAATGATTAGCCAGCTAATAGACGTTACAATTTAAACAGTAATAACAATATTCAGATGGACGGCGCAAGCCTACTGGAAGTGATTGAATAACTAAGAAATGTTTTATCGACACCTATTGTCCAGCACCCGGAGTTTACTATGTTATGATTACTGGTTTGGTTTGAATTTCTCGCAAAGCTACAAGAGGAGTATCTGCGCTAGCCGTCCCTAATTTAGCAGTGACTGACTACAGAGAAGGCAACTAGTCAACACCCCACCACAAACTCCTGGGCTACTCTCTTTACCAACGAAGTGGGATTGATCGTTACATTATAACGCCCCCACAGTTGAAATGGCGAGCATGTTTGGTGGGACGGGAATTCGAACCCGCGACCCTCAGATTGCGAGTCAAGCGCCCTAACCACCTGCCCATGATTACTGACACCAAATAGACGCATTAATTACAAGAAACATCTCACGACAATTTCCCATAATGCCTCAAATGAAGAACAATTTGCTCAACTTTGCACCCGCCACTTCAACTGGCATAAACCCGAGACGTAATAATATATACAAATTTTAACGAGTAAATTTACGTAAGCTACAGTAATAACACACACAAACTGGAGTTAAGTAAAATGGTAGTGGGCAACATGTTGTATAGAAACTGCTCAATAACCTTTTAATTTCAATTATGTCATCTGCAATTAAAGTAACTATTTAATTAGGCTTAGTTATTCAATTCATTCATCAAAAGGATTCGGTGTATATAGGAGGCACTAACAAACACGTAAGTTAAAAAGGCCTAGTTTCTTTATAAAGTGATTTGTTGTGATTCTCGTTTTTATCTCCTAATTTGGATGGTAAATCTTATTTTTTTCACAAATTGTTATTTTTTAAAATTAACTGTGTCACTATCAAAACATTTTACCACTCATTTTCTCTTGAGTCGTGATTTCTTTAAAGGGACAAAATGTGATGAATCGTCTAGGCCGAAGTCCAAAACTTAAGTCTTCGTTATTTTAGAATTAAACGCCAAACGACAGTAAATCAAATTAAACATATATTTATCTTGGAATTTTAGACGTTATTAAACTGCCAAATATCACGATTTGAGAACGTTTTATGCACTGTTGACGAGAGTAGCTCGGAAGATAAATGAGTGTATGATGGGTAATATTTACAACGGCTACAGCTGTACTTTAAATATTGAGAAAAAATGTGCTTCAGAAAAAGAGGTTTAAGACTTTGTTGCTGTTAGATTTAAATTAGAATTTACCTAGTCTTACATTTAGTAACTTAACATTAGACTCTATGTAACTACAACAACATTTATCATTTAGTTTTTCATTAAATTCAAAATTACGAAGCTTTAGTCTAGCTAGTACGAAACAGTAAGCCATTACTGTGTGCGTGTGTAAAGGTTTACCCGAGTTAAGGCCTTGCGGAATCTTTGGCTGCAAAGTATCATTAAGGAAAATTGGAACCTTTATCTTATTATATCATCTTTAGGATAAAGAATAATTCGGTCGATAATAATGCACCTTAAAATGGCCCAGATAATCTAAATTATCATCAAAACACGGCAGCAGTATCGCCAACTTTTGATGCAAACAAATTACATTCTCGGTTTGTGTATTTTAGGTAAAACATACATTCTAGTTGTGTTATAACTTGAAGACCGAGTTGTTCAAACTGATAAACAAGAAAGAAGAAGAAACAACAAAATCACACAACAGTAACTACTTTCACCGGTAATAAACCTATCACGGAAGGAACTAACTCCAGAAGAAAGATAAGTATCATCACTAAGCCTAAATTTCTCTCTACCAACAAAATCCATTAAAGAGTAATTGATCGTTTCTATAGAATCCAACTTAACAAGATGCAAAGATGATGAAAAAGATAGCATACGTAGTTACTGTGCAAATGTTTTATTAAACAATTATGGCAGTTACGAAACTACTACAGGAAAGCCAACACTGGAAAAATATACACAAGCATCCTAATTTTTTTCCTGGTTTGATAAAAATTGAGTAATGTACAGCGGTTTTAACGTTATACAGTATGCGTTGTAATGTATCTTTCTTTAGTTCTTTGTATATTTAACGTGTCAGTAATTCTGAGATGCTATCCTCATAATGCTTGGAGTCTACATCTACACTTAGATTGCCTTTGTCGTCTTTACAGATTTTTATGTCATTTCCTTAACTCTTTTTTATTCTAGCAACTGCAACACAGCCAGATTGTATGCTTTACCTAAGATACACAAACCTAGTGTACCATACAGACCCACTGTAAATAGTTTTCACTCTTCTACACAATCTTTGGCTAAAATGTTGGTTAAAAAACTGTCTGATTTAAACTACATTCTCGAAACCAACGAAGTCAGAAAATACGTCATAAAGGAAAGTTTAAGAAACCTAATTATATGTTCTCTAGTACTAGTAGTTCTTACTTAAAACTGTTTCAGTTTGTGTATTATTCATATTTGTTTAAGTATTAGCGTTGTTAGAATTAAAGAAACGTTAGCCCTTTTTTTGGATGTATAATGAATTTCATAAAACAATACCGTAGACAAAGGAAAACAAATCAGTTTTAGAACTAAAAGCTCTTTCGTGGATTGGTTAGTTTCGATCACTTGGAAAATAAAAGTTAGTCACAGATTGAACTGGTTTGATCATATAAGTAGTAAAAGATCTTCAAGGATTGGAAGATTATGATCACATGGAAGCTATAATATCTTCATAGATTGAATAGTTTTGACAATATGTGAACTAAAAGCTCTTCGCGGATTGGCTGTTTTTACCACGTGAGCGGTAAAAGATCCTCAGCGACTGGCTGGTTTTCTACTCTTCGTACAATCATCTTGTAGATCAATTTATTTGTTTACTTATTTATACAGTTTTTAGGGTTAGAATGTCAAGTTATAGAATGTGAGTAAGAAATTACATATTGTCTGTTTTAAATATCTGATTTTGCAATAAAAGTAATAATATAATAATTATGTACGATGCATGTCTCAGGCTAGATTTTGTTAATCCGCGTTTAATCAATGTTTAGCAGAAAGAAATACAAAACTACCAGAACACTAAAGCACTAGCCTAGAAACATTACTTGTTTACAGTGTCATTTAAATTTATACCGTGAAAAAATAAACTACTAAAAGTTCGAAAAGAAAAATATAATTTTGAAACTACCGTATCATTATGGAACACAGATTTTAATACAATTCTAGTCTAACAAAGAAAGGGGCTATTTGAATAACTGGGTAATTTACACGAAGGATATGATCCTTTAAACACTAATAGTGTACTTACTTCTTCAACCAAAAATTGAATTACTTATTACTTGCAAAAGAACAAAAAGTCACAGTGTGTAAGCATGTAGCAAACTCCCACACACACCTTGAGACCGAGGTTACGTCCCTGAATTTAATATTAGAGGACAGCTAATAATAAATTTTATTTAATATTTTGCGAAGAATTCGCTAAACGTTTTTTGTTTCGGTTTGTGTGGAGTGAACATATTAATGATACTGTAATAAAAAGTGAAGTATAGAAAAACAACCTTTAAACTCCTGTTTCAGTTGTGTGTATATTAACCCTGATGAAACCGGAAAGGGGAAATGTGGGTTGAAAAACAAATATTAATTTATCTGAAGTGTTACGGTTGTTTTTCTAAACTTTTATCAAAATTTGTAAATCCCTCCAGTAATAAAAGTAAAATAAACGGATAAATTGGATCAATAATTATTCACTTAGCAAATAACAACGTTAGATCATTCTAGAGTTAAAAATAACCTCGCCGCACTGTCACGGTGATTCTGGAATCGACATTTTTTCTGTTCTTCAGGGAGAAAAACAAAACGCGGAATATATCTATCGCTTCTGTACAAATCTCTCTCTCTCTCTCTCTTTAGTTTCACGCGACACTGATTGATACGAAGTCAATCTTTCACAACGAAGAACAAAAAAAAAATAACATCTTGAAATAGAAATTAAACAAAGAATAAGAACGTTTAAAGGTAATGTTGTAAGATTCGTAAGCATTTGGCGTTGCTAGGATTTAGGACGGTCTTGGACAAAAGATCGATAGAAATGACGTCTGGATTGGCTAAGATTAAGAGCTGCCACAACTAAATCACTCGGACAAAAGGTCAATGAAAGTGACCCGTGGACGTCTTGGTTGGATGAGGTTATGAACTATCCACACCGAATCATCTACACAAAAGGTCGAAGTAAGTGGATGTCTGACTTGGTTGCAAGGAAGACCCGACCCCATTGAATCACGTGCACACAAAGTCAAGGAAAGTTACCCATATATGTTGACATATCAGGAATATAAATCGTGTCACGGACAATGTCTAACTTTTTTGAAATGCATTACTTTGTGTGAACCCATGACCACATTATGTATGGGACGACTTGGCGATAACTCTGAGCCCCATGACCACATTCTGTATGGGACGACTTGGCGATAACTCTGAGCCCCATGACCACATTGTGTATGGGACGACTTTGCGATAACTCTGAGCCCCATGACCACATTGTATATGGGGCGACTTGGCGATAACTCAGCGCCCCATGACCACATTGTATATGGGGCGACTTGGCGATAACTCTGCTCTTCGGTCAATGTTTCATTCAAATATCAACAGATGTCTGCTCCACCACCTTTTGGTGTTACATTCGTTCAATTCTCTACAACTGGCCCTTTTTTTTTTCTATTACTTCTCACCAATAATAAAGTAAGCCAACATTTATAACAATGACCGGTAAAAGAACTATATAACATATCAATAATAATATTGAAATACCTAGAACTATATAACACGTTATTAACAATGCTGAAACATGATGAATTCGAGGACATGTTTATAACAATGCTGACATATGTTGAACTGTACATGTCGACAACAATGCTGAAATAAAAATCTGTAACTGTGTAACACATTGTTAAAAAAATGTTCATTGTTCTTGCCTAATCGGCTGTTTTGGTTTTATTCTAACTAACTTTTCAAACTAAGTCACCGAAAAAGAGATCCCATCTTTTTGTGAAACTTCGGCCACACACGAAACTGAAATGGACTCAACCACAGATTAGGACTAATCACGAAGGGATGTTTAACTTATGCTTGCAAACATCATCCCAGCGTGTTTTGTCGTTATTTAATGGCTACATAATTTACATACGATTTAGAACGTAGAAAGTTAACCCACTATTCGAGAAACATAATTAATGACGTATCTCGTTTCACGTTCTAATGAAATCTAAATCAAGACGCAAGATTAAAATGAACTGTGGATAATTGAAAGAAACTTTAATCACTAATTGGTACTTACGTGCATAGTTGTTGGATGTTACAGTTTTTAAAACTTTAAAACAAATAAAATACATCATTCCTATTTAATAAAAGAATAAATTAAAGTTACCGATTCAATGAAAGATGGTAAATTGTACTTTATTAGTTTAACATCCTTATCGCTGGATCAAATTAGTTTAAACATGGTGGATAAAATATGGTTAGAAATGATTAAAAGGGGTCAACGTATAAAATAAATAAATCATATCAAATATATTAAAAACAAAGAAACTTATTAAGTAAATTTAAAAAATAAAGAAAGCATATAAAATATATTAAAAACAAAGAAACTTATTAAGTAAATTTAAAAAATAAAGAAAGCATATAAAATATATTAAAAACAAAGAAACTTAT